AACCTAAACCCCAAACCCCAAACCCCAAACCCCAAACCCTAAACCCTAAACCCTAAACCCTAAACCCTAAACCCTAAACCCTAAACCCTAAACCCCAAATCCCAAGCCCTAAACCCTAAACCCGAAACTCTGAACCTGAGCCCCCGAAGCAGAGTGTCTGGCCATGGGGGCAGCTTGCAGCTCCATCGAGCTACTTGGAGGAATGGGGGTTTCCGAAAATGGGGGTACTTTTTTGGGGTTTAGGGTTTAGGGTTTAGGGTTTTGGGTCTTTTTGGGGTCCCTTGTAGGGGACCCTGTTCTATTCGGGGTACAAAAGGGGTACCCCTAAATTTGGGAGATACCCGAATGGAAAACCGCAGTGCGCAAGGTCTAGGGTCTGGGGCCAAGGGGAACATACAAGGTTTAGGGTTTTTGGGGTTTAGGGGTTTAGGGTTTTAGGGGTTAGGGTTTAGGTTTAGGGGTTGAGGGTTTCGAGTTCACATGCATGCATACAGGAGAGACGTGTGCCATGGCACAGTCGGTCAGGTATTAGAAAGGGCTGAGTCAGGACAAAGCGATGGAATCTGGAGTCCTTCATCCAGTGTAGGGAACAGGGTGCACATGTCTCTAAACGTGAGTGGGTTAGTTTGTGGCTGGGCCTGTCCTGGTAGCACCGTGGTTCCCTTTCTGCGGGGCACCCTAAACCAAGCTCCCCAAACCCTACACTCCCTAAACCCTAAACTCCTGAACCCTACACTCCAAAAACCCCAAACCCTTTTCCCCAAACCCTAAACTCCCTAAACCCCAAACCCTGAAACCCTCAGCCGATTAGATCCAGCGGATATGGTAACCAGCATGCGTTGGTTGAGGGCCTTGATGACCACCCATCCGGTGTAAGAGATCCACGAGCTGATCCCCAGCCATCGGGCGTTGGGAGGATATGCATGTTTGGTACGCCCAAAGGAAGGACTGTGAAGCCTTGAGAAGGAGCAGCAGAAGATGGCGTCCCTGTTGGGCTTGGCACCAGAATCTCTGCAGAGCCATCCTATCGAGGCTCACGACCTACGACGCCCTTGGGCGTGAAATGGTTGCTTACGCGGAGAATCGGCCTTCTCCGAGGACACCGGGGCCGGGCCAATGTCAAGGGAAAAGGCAAAGGAAAGGGGGGTGTTTCATCTTTCAGACTTCAACCCTGAAGTTGCTTAGTGGTGCTTAGTAAGGGGTTTAGGGAATCAGGTACCCGATGTGATCACTGTTTTAGGGTTTAGGGGGTTTAGGGGTTTAGGAGTTTAGGGGTTTCAGGGTGTAGAGGTTCAGGGGTTTAGGGGGTTTGGGGGTTTAGGGTTTAGGGTTTTAGGGTTTAGGGTTTAGGGTTTAGGCTTACAAGGTGCTGACTTCCATGGCATGTCAGTGTCGAGGGCTGGTCAGTAGGTGAGGCTTTTCAGCAGCATTCGACGAAGGATTGTGGGATGTGGATGTCGGAGCAAAAGTGCCCGAAGCGACTTGATTCCGGCGTCGAGCCGTAGTTTCGCAAAGGGGACGCCTGTGCGAAAAGCACGCTCTACGTTCGAAAGCGTAGCTTTTCGGCTTGGGGGGTTGATTTCCCCCACAGTGTAGTGAATGCGCCCCCCTTCCCGCTCTAATTCTCGGAGCCTTAAACTCTAGACCCTAAACCCTAAAACCCCAAACCCTAAACCCTAAACCCTAAACATCGAAGGTCGGCAGCCGGGCGGTGCTCCGCGCAACTGGGCCGAGCTTTAGGGTTTGTTCATGGTCGGAAGGGTTTTCAATCTTTTTTTTAAAAATAATATTTAGTATTTGTTTGTGTTATTAAGGCTTAGGGGTGCTGCTGTAGCGGCCCTTGCATGGCTAGTTCGGTCTGACTCGTTTAGGGCTTGGGGTCGTTGATCTGAACGAGAAGGGCACTGAAGCTGTGATTCTCCCAGTCGCCCAAACTCGGTATGGTGGAGAACCCAAGACCCCAGCAACAGCAGCAACAACAACAAGAGGCTTAGGCTTCAGGGTTTAGTGTTCAGGGTTTAGGCTTTGCGGGTTTAGGACCAAACCCCTTAAGACCCTAAGAATCCTAATGCCAAAAGCCTGTAAAGCTCCCCAATCCCGTGGCTCATCCCCTTTATTTGGATGTTCAGGGTACTTGTAGCCCAATATGATCTGCCTAAGTCCTCTAAGCACGTTTGGGGTAAAAAGTACCCTAAAACCTCAACCCTAAAACCAAAAACCCTAAAACCCTAAGCCCTAAACCCTAGTTGGGGTTGTAAGTACCCATGAACCTTCACGTAGTTGAAACCAGGCCATGCTCCCAGCCGCAGCCCTGCGGGGCACTGTCGGGAGCTTGGCACGCGGACGTTCAGGGGTGTAAGGGTTCGGTTTTAAGATCCTAAACCCTAAACTCAAAACCCTAAACCCTAAACCCTAAACCCGAAACCCAAAACCCTAAACCCTAAACTCTACACCCTAAACCCTAAACCCTCTACCCTGAACCCTTAAACCCTAAACCCAAAATCCTGGCGATTTTTGTCTTGTAAGAGCCTTCGGAGAGGCTTGTATATACCCTTAACCCTCAACCCTCAACCCTCAACCCTAAACCCCAAACCCCAAACCCCAAACCCCTTACTGCTGATAAGAGCCTTTAGCACAAAGCAGCTACCCATTCGGGGTTAGGGTTTAGGGTTTAGGGTTTAGGGTTTAGGGTTTAGGGTTAGGAGGGTTAGGAGGGTTGGGAGGGTTAGGGGGGTTATGCGGGCTTAGGGTTAAGGGTTATCAAGAGGGTTTAGGGTTTAGGGTTACATGGGTTTACCGGGTTCTTGGCGTCTTGAAGTTAGGGGGTTGGGGTCTCGGGTTTGGGGATTGAAAGCCTGAAGCCCCGAACCCTACGCCCTGAACCCTGAAGCCTGAACCCAAAACCCCCAACCGACCTGAATTCTGAACCTTGAAGTCGCAAGAATTAGGCCCTAGAATCAGCCACCCGGGTCTAATTCTCTACCGCCACCCCTCTCGCCTCTGTTGGGGTAGGCTGGCGCAGTCAAGCGCTCATGCGAGTTCTGAGTGGGCGGCCTTGGGGAAATCTTAGACCCCAAACCCTAAACCCTAGCCTAAACCCTAAACCCTAAACCCTAAACCCTAAACCCCAAACCCCAAACCCTAAACCCCAAACCCTAAACCCTAAACCCTAAACCCTAAACCCCAAACCCTAAACCCCAAACCCTAAACCCTAAACCCTAAACCCCAAACCCTAGAGATGTCAGGCCTGCGCTGGGGACTTCGGCATTGGTCCCTCACCCAGCGGTGGGGGTTCCGCAATGTTTCGGGTGCCTGTGGGCCTGTTTGGGGGTTAGGGTTTAGGGTTTAGGGTTTAGGGTTTAGGGTTTAGGGTTTAGGGTTTAGGGTTTAGGGTTTAGGGTTTAGGGTTTAGGGTTTAGGGTTTCGGACTTAGGGTTTAGGACTTAGGGTTCGGGGTTTGGGGTTTGGGGCTTGGGGTTAGGGTTTACAGGACACCAAAAGAACCCATCCTTCAACCTCAGCATCTCCCCCCTGCTTTCGCAAAGCTCACCCAAGGTCTCGGAGACCGTGCCACGGCCGGGACCTTTCATCTTCCGTGATTTTCGCTCGGGTTTCTTAGGGCTGCTCAGGCAAGCGACAGGGGATTTTTCAGGCAACCCGAAACCCTAAACCCTAAACCCTATAAACCCTAACCCCAAACCCTAAGCCCCCAACCCTCAACTGCGCCATGGTGACCGGCGCGGGCGCGGCGCGGGTGCCGGGAGCTCAGGTGGAGAGAGTTTCTCAGCCCTCAACCCTCAACCCTGATCCCCTAAACCCTGAACCCTGAACCCTGAACCCTGAACCCTGAACCCTAAACCCTAAACCCTAGACCCTAGACCCTAGACTAAACCCTAACCCTAGACTAAGCCCTAAACCCTAAGCCCTAAACCCAAACCCTAACCCTAAACCCTAACAACAAAATCCCTCCTTTGGAGGGGTTGGGGGGCTTTAGGTCGGAGTCTGGGAGTTGTTTTTGAGGGTCTTTCAGGGTTGGGAGTTTAGGGAGTTTAGGGTTAGGTTTCAGGGATTTTGGTTAAGGTTCGCGGTTTAGGATGTAGAGATTTATGGTTGAGGGCTTAGGGTTTAGGATTGAGGGATTCTGGCTGGGTGCAGGAGTTTTGACGCTTTAGCACCTAGCACCCCGAGGGGGTCGGATGCTGTGTTTTTGGGTTTCTGTTTTTGACCCCCCCCTTCCTCTGGCCTCGGACTTAAGATGAGCCTTGAAGGGATTGGGGCTGACGGGTCTTAGCCTTTCAGTCTGCCATCGCGGCCTTGATTGCAGTTGGGGCAGTTGGTGGGTTGAGGGTCACAGCTGTCGAGGGTTTAGGGTAGACTCGGGGTTGGGAGGGGTTGAGGGTTAAGGCCCAAGGGTTTGTTTGGGGCAGAAGGACGAACATGTCCTGTTTTGAATGGTCTCATGCCGCTGACGCCCAGTGTTCCACGTTTCAGAGGTCGCAATGGGCTCGACTTTGTAGCTGCAGACACATCTCGACAGTCTTGCAGTTCTACGTGGCAGGACGCTAAGAAGCCCTGCAAAATTGGGTTTAGGGTTTAGGGTTTAGGGTTTAGGGTTTAGGGTTTAGGGTTTAGGGTTTAGGGTTTAGAGGCCCAAATCTTTGTTAAACCCTCAACCCAGGAACCCACAGGCTGACTTGCGCACACACTCATGCCCCTAACATTAAACCCCCCCCTGCCCCCCTAATATTAACTTCCCATCATAGTTATACTATTAGGGTTTAGGGTTTAGGGTTTAGGGTTTAGGGTTTAGGGTATGGTAATATTAACTTCCCATTATAGTTATACTATGGTAATATTAACTTCCCATTATGGTTATACTATGGTAATGTTAACTTCCCATTGTAGTTATACTATGGTAATATGGGGTGGGGATATGTAGTATTAGGGGGTAGGGAGGGTTAAACATTACGGGGCGGGGAGAACACGTGTGCCCTCTCGCCATGGTGCTGGTACGGCGAGATGGGGACTGGGATTGTGCCAGGTGCGGAATCCCTAAACCCTCAACCCTAAACCCTAAACCCTAAACCCTAAACCCTAAACCCTAAACCCTAAACCCTAAACCCTGAACCCTCAACCCTAATTTTCAAGTCTCACCCCGAAGCCCTAAACTTAACCCCTGACCCTGGAGTCGAGGTAACAATTCAGTCCGCCTTCCCCCAACCCTTACACCTTAGAATGCAACTCCAAGCAGGAAACTGCAGGGCATTGTTTCTAAGGATTCTAAGGTTTGGTTTTAGGGAGTCTGGGGTTTTGGGGAAGATCACTACCCTAAACCCTGAGCCCTAAACCCGCAACCCTAAACCCCAAACCCTAAACCGCCCAAACCCCACGAAAACCAAACCCTCAATCCGAAAAGCGGGCTGAGGGTGTGCAGGTTTTTAAGGCGGATTCGAGTTCAAGGCTCTCCCTAAGCCCGAAACCCTAAGCCCTAAAACAGAAGCCCCCTAAATCAGGGTTTGCCTTAGCTGCACCCAAAGAGAGATCTCAAGCACCAACAGGGCAGACCTCTTAAGGCACCTACATGGGGGTTTCCCAAAATGAGGGTTCAGGGTTTACGAGTCTTCCAAGCCATAGAGGTTTCGGGTCTAGGGTTTCGGGGTCGGGGCTTAGGGTTTAGGGCATTGCAATGAAACCCGTTTGCCCTCAAAAGCTGCCTGTTGCGAGGTGTGGCAACCTGGTTTTCGCCAAGAAGTACGAGTGCCCGTTGCCTTCCCTTGCCTCGGGTTCAGGGTTTAGGGTTTAGGCTTTCGGGTTTAGGGTTTAGGGTCTAGGGCTTAGGGTTCAGATTTTCTTGTGTCGGATTTCAAGCTTTTGGGCTTCTTTCAGTGATTCAGGGTGTACGGTAGCTGCTCGGGAATGCTCGGGATCAGCTGAACCTCGGGGGCAAGGGGTTCTTGGCTAGCCAGGTCCTTGGTATTTCCCTTATTGGATTTACGGGGGATGAGTCTAGGGGTCGGAATTTTCTGGTCCTATAGAAGTATACTATAGGCAAGTCCTTGGAATGTCCGCTTATTGGCAGGGGATGACTACTTATAGGGGTCGGCATGATTGGTAATAGTATTCCCATATGGTCCCGATAAGAGCATACTTAATAACACGCCCGAAGCCCTATTCTAATTATTAAGGCCCCTATAGTATGTAAACCCTAAACCCTGAACCCTATGTCTAGGACCATTTTATCAGAGGGGTTGTAAGGGCTTGGCTCGAGGCACGTGATGCAGGGTCTGGGGGGGGGGTGTGGTGGAGGGCAGTAGGCTGCAGCCGATGTCCTTTCTCCTGCAAAGATCCAGTCTGGATATCGGGTTCCCGGGCCCTAAATTCGCTGAGAGTTTTGAGACGGCTTTCAGTTGCGTAGGGCAGACCAGGCTGTGCGGCTGTCGAACGGCCAAGAAGCACAACAGGCGCGCCTCCCATAACTCTGCACTCCAGAAACCCGAGCATCTCCAACCCCCTGAAGACCCTAAACCCTACACCCGACACCCTAAACCCTAAGCCCTAAGCCCTAAGCCCTAAGCCCTAAGCCCCAAGCCCCAAGCCCCAAGCCCTAAACCCTAAACCCTAAACCCTAAACCCTAAACCCTAACCCCTGCATTTGGGGTTCAGGGTTTAGGGGTTTAGGGGTTTAGGGGTTAGGGGTTCAGGGGTTTAGGGGTTTAGGGGTTTAGGGGGTTAGGGGTTTAGGGGTTTAGGGGTTTAGGGGTTTAAGGGTTTAGGGGTTTAGGGGTTTAGGGGTTTGGGGGAACATCCCTAAGCCCTAAACCCTAAACTCTAAACCCAAACCCCAAAGAGCTCTAAACCCCTGGACTGCGGACCCCAGCCCGCTCGCCTCCGTGGTGCAGTGTTTAGGGAGGGTCCAGGGTTTAGCGTTTAGGGTTTAGAATTTAGGGTTTAGGGTTTGGGTTTAGGGTTTAGGGTTTGGGTTTAGGGTTTAGGGTTTAGGGATAGGATCCAGGGTCTAGGGTTTCAGTCTCACTGCGGCTCCACCACCCTAATAGGGTTTAGGGTTTAAGGTGTAGGGTTTAGGGTTTCAGTGGTCGGTGGGGTTTAGGGCTAGGGTTTAGGGCTAGGGTTTAGGGTTGTGGGGTTTAGGGCTAGGGTTTAGGGCTAGGGTTTAGGGTTGGGGGGTTTAGGGCTTTAGGGGTCTAGGGTTTTGGGAGTCCTCAGCAGCTGCGCAGAGGCCGGGAAAGAAAGATCGGGATGCTGCCAAGCAGGCGGCGGCCAGCTACCATGACACGGGTGCCAGGACTGCCATACCTTGGGGCCCTTGGGTACGAAATGAACCCTAAACCTTAAAGCCTAAACCCTACGCCCTAAACCCTAAACCCTAAACCCTAAACCCTAAACCCTAAACCCTAAACCCTAAACCCTAAACCCTAAACCCTAAACCCTAAACCCTAAACCCTAAACCCTAAACCCTAAACCCTAAAACCTAACCCTAAACGCTAAACCCTAAACGCTAAACCCTAAAAGGGTTTATGGTTCATATACCTTTAATAGGAATATTAGTAGTAAGGGTATATGACCCCAATTTTAGGGTTCATTTGGTTTTCAGGTAGGGTCATGCGAGGCTTAGGGACTTGGGGGGGAGGGGGGTTAGGGTAAGTTTAGGGCTCAGGGTTTAGGGTTTTGTTCGATCTAGGGTTTAGGGTTCAAGCCTTCATACTGCCTCCTTTTCCCTCCCGCCCCTTAAGAACGACGTGGGTACAAAAATCCAGGTCCCTGGACATAGAGTAGCCAGAAAACCCTAAACTCAGTTTCGCCAGTCGCCAGGCAAGCCCATCCAAGAGCCGCGGGATCAGGGTTTAGGGTTCAGGGCTTAGGGTTTAGGGTTTAGGGTTTAGGGGTTAGGGTTTAGGGTTCAGGCTTTAGGGTTTACAGTCAACCCCAAAAAGGTTGGAAACCTGGCTGGGATTCCTTATACTTCCCTCTTAGGGAGGCTATTGAGTTTCAACTTTTTGGCCTCTAGTTTAGGGTTTAGGGTTTAGGGTTTAGGGTTTAGGGTTTAGGGTTTAGGGTTTAGGGTTTAGGGTTTAGGGTTTAGGGTTTAGAGTTCGGTTAGGGCTTTGGGCTCGAAGTCTGGGAGCCCCCCTCTGCCCAGGAGGCGGCCCACTTACCCTCGCAGGCCTGAGGACGCCCACCACTTGTCGGGCACGGGGGTTAAAGACTAGAGTTTAGGGTTCAGGGTTTAGGGTCTAGGGTCTCGGGTTCGCAAGACTCTAGATCCTGTACCCTAAGCTGTAAGCCCTAAATAAACCAACAGAGCCCTGACACTTGAAGCTCTAAACCCTTGACCGCTAAACCCTAAACCTTCCTAAACCCAAAACTCCTCCTAAGCCCTAAACCTTCCTAAACCCTATAAGCCCCTGAACCTTCCTAGCCCCCTAACCCCTAACCCCTAACCCCTAAACCCTAAACCCTAAACCCTAAACCCTAAACCCTAAACCCTAAACCCTAAACCCTAAACCCTAAACCCTAAACCCTAAACCCTCCGTGCCATGCCTGGGGCCCCTGCATCCCTCGGAGGAGCCCAGGCCGGCAGAGGACGAAGCGGAGGAGCCCATGGCCCAGGAGGCTCCCAGGGTTTGAGGGAGGGTTTAGGGTTTAGGGTTTAGGGTTTAGGGTTTGGGGTTTAGGGTTTAGGGTTTAGGGTTTAGGGTTTGGGGTTTAGGGTTTAGGGTTTAGGGTTTAGGGTTTAGGCTTTAGGGTTTATTTAGGGTTTGGGGCTTGGGGTTTGGGGTTTGGGGCCGCTCAGCTTTTTTTGGCTTCTCAGCTCTTCGACTCCTTTCAGTTCCTATTGGAATTGCATAGGGTTCAGGGTTCAGGGTTTAGGGTTTAGGGTTTAGGGTGTAGGGTTTAGGGTTTAGGGTTTAGGGTGTAGGGTTTAGGGTTTAGGGTTTAGGGTTTAGGGTTTAGGGTTGGGAGCCTTCAGCCCATGAAGAGTGTGTGGGATGCGAGTAGCTCCTATACAGTTCCACTTATCAGGATCTTGAGGGTTTAGGGTTCAGGACTTAGGGTTTAGGGGTATAAACCATAAACCTGAAGCCCTGAATCTCTAAATCCCTAAATCCCGAACCCCCAAACCCCTACACAAACCCTGTACAATTCCAAGGTTCTAGAGGGGATTAGACGGGTTTAGTTGGGTTTGAAAGGGTTTAAAAGGGTTTAGAAAGGGTTTAGAAAGGTTTGAAAAAGGTTTAAACAGGTTTAGAAGGCAAAAGAAAATCCCGCCCAACATTTTTTGGGACCCGAACCCTACACAATTCCAACAAACCCTATACCCCAAACCCCAAACCCCAAACCCCAAACCCTAAACCCTAAAGGCCCCCACATAGCTTCCCTTAGAGGGCTGCCAGGACGAGGACTACCTGGATATGGATGAGGTGCGCGTAGAGGAGGACCGCCGTATCAGGTGGGGTTTAGGGTTTAGGGTTAGGGGTTTAGGGTTTAGCGTTTAGGGTTCAGGGTTTAGGGTTTAGGGGTGTAGGGGTTTAGGGAAATTTTGGGCTTTTATCATTGAACCGGTCTGACCCCCTAAGCCGTGAGCCCTAAACCCTAAACACTAAACCCTAAAATCTAAACCCTGAAAACCATAAACCCTAAAACCCTACACCCTAAATCCTAAGCCCTAAACCTGAAGCTCTAAACCCTAAGCCATTAACCCCCTAAACCCTAACCCCCTAAACCTTTGAGACCCTAGACTTCACAGACGCTCAACCCTCGGCCCGCAACCATAAACCCTAAACCCTAAACCCTAAACCCTAAACCCTAAACCCTAAACCCTAAACCCTAAACCCTAAACCCTAAACCCTAAACCCTAAACCCTAAACTCTAAATCCTAAACCCTAAACCCTAAACCCTAAACCCTAAACCCTAACCCCAAAAACTCCCTGCAGTCTGGGGGGGGGGGTGGGGTACCCCCAGCCGCTGCAGCGTGTCAAGAGAAAGGGCTTTCTTGCCAACCGGAGGGGTGGGTGCCTGATGCACTGATGGACGCACCCAAACACTTCTAGAAATTGGGACCTCGCAAAACCGCCTGAAGCCCTCTGACTTGGACGGGACACTCCTGACTCAATCGTTCGAAGAAAAGCTCTGAAAATATTTAGGCTTAGGCTCAAACCCTAAAAGGAATTGGGGGGGGGGGGGTGGGTTGTGCTGCCTGAGAAGGCGTGGGGTGGGATGAACATGTTAAACAATGTTGGCCACGGCTGCTCTCGCATGTCCCGAAGCTTTCGAGCCTAGTCTGCATCCAACCTTCACAGCTTCTGCGCCATATTACCCTAAACCCTAAACCCTAAACCCTAAGCCCTAAGCCCTAAGCCCTAAACCCTAAACCCTAAACCCTAAACCCTAAACCCTAAACCCTAAACCCTAAACCCTAGAGCGCAGACCCTAAACCCCCGAACCCTAAACGGCTTTCAGGAACAGCTGCCAGACACCCCGGAGGATCGCGACCGGGGAAGTTGAGTCTGGAGAGCGTGTTCTTTTGTTGAAGGTTGGGGGGGGGGGGGGGGGGGGGTACGAGGCGCTGTCACAAGTGTTCATTCCAATTGCGAACATGCCCAAACCCTGCTATTTGCGGCGTTTTGCCTCTTTATAACAACATGTTGCTGGAGGATATTTGATGTTCAGCAATCACAAGTGTTCATGCCATTTTGCGAACATGCCCGAAACCCTGATATTCGCGGCGTTTTTGCCTCTCTATACAACGTGCGGCTCATCGAACACATTTACAGCTGGGTCTGGCTCTCGCAGTTGGATCCCAAAGCGGACGCCACGGATCACTTGGGGAAAGTGTGCTCAAATGAGTGCCCTATGTTTGATTTTTTGGAGTTCCTGAAGCACGAATCCCTCCATTTCCACAGCCACACGCACGAAGTCCTGTAATTTACAGCACTTGCCGTGTATGCCCTACAACGTACAGGCCCGGCGCCACACGGTAGATATCAATGTGTGACCCCCTAAACCCTAAACCCTAAACCCTAAACCCTAAACCCTAAACCCTAAACCCTAAACCCTAAACCCTAAACCCCAAACCCCAAACCCTAAACCCTAAACCCTAAACCCTAAACCCTAAGCCGTAAACTACGAACCCACTTAACCTCTAAACTGCACCTTGGGCTCAGAGAGGTCCATGTGATCCCTCTTGCCTGTTGTAGTTTGGGTCCCCAAATACAGCTATCCCTTCCAAGCTTCTTAGATTTAGGGTTTAGGGTTTAGGGTCTAGGGCTTAGGGTTTAGGGTTTAGGGTTTAGGGTTTAGGGTTTAGGGTTTAGGGTTCAGGATTTCTGAAATTTCCCTCCAAAGAGTCCTTTAACAAGTCTCTGATGGTCCCCCAGAATGGTTTAGGGTTTTTGGGGGCGAGGCCCATCCGGAGTAGCAGTGTGAAGGCTAAAGCCAGAGCCTAAACCCTAAACCCTAAACCCTAAACCCTAAACCCTAAACCCTAAACCCTAAACCCTAAACCCTAAACCCTAAACCCTAAACCCTAAACCCTAAACCCTAAACCCTAAACCCTAAACCCTAAACCCTAAGACTTAGACCCATGAGCCCACCTGAACCCAATGGCTCCTTCATGGGATATCCTGAATAGCATGTGCTTCTTTGCTAGTACACCCTAAACCCTAAACCCTAAACCCTAAACCCTAAACCCTAAACCCTAAACCCTAAACCCTAAACCCTAAACCCTAAACCCCAGACCCTAAACCCTAAACCCTGAACCCTAAACCCTAAACCCTAAACCCTAAACCCTAAACATGGAATCAACAAGGAAGCTTATTTTGGAGAAGTGAGCTTGTAGACCCCCGGGCATTAAGCCTGAAGCTTAAGCTGAACCAATGCCCCTAAACCCTACACCCTAAACCCTAAACCCCAAACCCGAAACTTTAAACCCCCTAAACCCTCTAAACCCTCGAAACCCTCTAAACCCTCTAAACCATCTAAACCCTCTGAACCCTCTAAACCCTCTAAACCCTCTGAACCCTCTAAACCCTCTAAACCCTCTAAACCCTCAAAACCCTCCAAACCCTCTAAAACCCTCTAAAACCCTCTAAACCCCAATCCCCAACCCTAAACCCTAAACCCTGTAAACCCTAAACACTCTAAAACCCTCTAAAACCCTCAACACTCTAAAACCCTCTAAAACACTCTAACACCCTCTAAAACCCTCTAAAACCCTCAACACTCTAAAACCCTCTGAAACACTCTAAAAAGCTCTAAAACCCTCTAAACCCCAATCCCCAACCCTAAACCCTAAACCCTGTAAACCCGAAACCCCTCCCCCACTGCCCATCCCCACCTTTGAGTATCTCGAAGGAGCCACAAGCAGACGTGGCGGAAACCCCATGGAAGCGCCGGATGCCGGGATGCCGATGGCCCGAAACCCTAAACCCTAAACCCTAAACCCTAAACCCTAAACCCTAAACCCTAAACCCTAAACCCTAAACCCTAAACCCTAAACCCAAATCCCTAAACATTCCCACCCCCTCCCCCACCCTGTATCGGGCCTGCGTTGAACTTTGCGGCGTTCTGCTGCTTTTTGTGCGAACTCGTTTGCTGACATGTGGTGCTTCTCGGGATGCAGGATGAGGTTTGCTGCCGTTTAAGGCTCTTAGGGTCCAGGGCTTAGGGGTCTAGGGTTTCGGGTTTAGGGTTTCGGGTTTCGGGTTTAGGGTTTAAAGTTTTGGGTCTTTGGGTCTTAGGTTTCGGGGCTCAGGTTTCCCTGTTTGCGAGCGCGTGGTGCATCGGACTTTGCCCTGCGGAGCACCACTGCGACCAAGCACCCAACAGCTCCAACCAGACCCCAATAAGCTCACTGTGTTCCGGCATATTCCCCGATGCAACCCTTCGAGGCCAACCCCAAATCGAAACGCTAAACTCGAATTCCGTGCAGGTTTCGTTCTCGCATTCCGGAAGACCCAATAATACCTCAATTAAGAAATATTCCTTAAACCTTTGAGGAATCTTCCTTCTTTAGTGCGATATGACTCGGGTCCCTGCGAAATTGAATTACACCCTTTCCCTCTGCGCAAAGGGCGCAAGCCTTTAAACCCTAGAACCTAGACTACTAGGATGAGAATCTCAGACAAAATGTCCATCATGCAGGGAAGCCGAAACCTTTACTAAGCCCTAAGCCCTAAGCCCTAAGCCCCAACCTTAAACCCTAAACCCTGAACCCTAAACCCTAAACCCGAAACCCGAAACCCGAAACCCTAAACCCTTAACCCTAAACCCTAAACCCTTAACCCTGAGGAAGTTCGGGGAGCGGGCGCCGCCCTGGGCGGCTCCGGAACGTTCCTGGGCGGCGTGCGAAGCCAGTTTTTAGGTTTTTAGGTTTCTTTTTTTCAATCTTTTTTCGGGTTTCTAGTAGGGTTTCTAGGGTTTTCTAGGTCTCTAGTAGGGTTTCTAGTGGGGTTTGTAGGGTGTTTGTTTAGACTTGTAGGGTTTTTAGTAGGTTTTTTTTGGCTTTTTCTGGGGTTTCTAGTAGGTGATTCTTTATGGTATCTAGGGTTTCTAGTAAGACGCCCCCTCTCCCTCTCTTTCTCTCTTTCTTTCTCTCTTCCATTGTAGCTTTATTCTTTCTTTCTTTCTTTCTTTGTTTCTTTCTTTCTTGCTGTCTGTCTTTGTTTCAATCCGAATTGACGGAATCCCGAATTCCTCCCTCAACCCTCAACCGCAAACCCTAAACCCCTAAACCCTAAACCCTAAAACCTGAAAACCCTAACTCCACCCTGAGCCCAAGCCTAAGCCCCTCCCCAAAGAGGCCAGCCGAAAGACTGAGGCCAGCCGAACGACTGGGACTGCGTGGAATGTGGGGCCGTCAATTTTCAGAGACGCGATGCGTGTGCCCGGGCTTGCGGGTGCACTTTGGGGGTTTAGGGTTTAGGGTTTAGGGTTTAGGGTTTAGGGTTTAGGGTTAGGGGTTAGGGTTTAGGGTTCAGGGTTTAGGGTTTAGGGTTCAGGGCCTAGGGCTGTAGGAACTTTGGCAGTTTGTGGGAACTCGGGGTTCAAGGTTTTTGGTTTGAAGCTTATAGGGTTTAGGGTTTAGGGTTTAGGGTTTAGGGGCATGGGGTTTCGGGCTTGGGGTCGTTGTTGTTCGGTCGGAGTTCTGAGGCAGGTATGCGCTATTTCGAGTCTTGGGGTCTGGAATCTTGGGCACACTTTGGCTTGGCAAACGCAGGCTTGTAGGGCACTGCCGTCCGAGCCCTGCTCCGTAAGTACAAGAGTCATGGGCTCTGGTTCCCCTACTAGCCCCTCCCCCCCCCCCCCCTAGGTTCCCCCCATAATTCAGGCTATTTAGGGTTTTCGGTTTAGGGCTTAGGGTTTAGGGTCTAGGGGTAATCAAGCCTAATTAGGGCTACTTAGGGGCGGGGGGGTAGTATAGAGGGGCGTAGCAGGGGAACCCATGGAGGAGGCACAGTTTTCAGAAAAGGGTTGTCGCTCTTGGCATCCCCACATCCAGAGGCAAAGGCCCTAACCCTAAACCCCAAGCCCTCAACCCTAAAACCCTAAACCCTAAACCCTAAGCCCTAAGCCCTAAACCCTAAACCCTAAACCCTAAACCCTAAACCCCTAAACCCCTAAACCCCTAAACCCCTAAACCCCTAAACCCTTAACCCTAGTGGCCGAATTCCCGAAGCCCTGATCGACTTCGATCACCTCCCAGTTCTTCCCCCCGACTTTAAACCTCTTCAACCCCAAATACCGAAACCCTTAAACTAGGATGCCCAGTAGTACCCTTATTCCCTTTTTGGGGGGTTTAGGTTCCCTTATAAACCCCTTTAAGCAAAAAAGGGCACCCTTTTTAAGCCTTGGTTACTGGGCAGCCTAGTAAAGTTGCCGCTTTCGGGTTTAGGCACTAGCTCGGGCTGCTGTCAAGGAGCGTCAGTTAAGTTGGATGTATGTGTTTTCGTTGAGGGCTTAGGGCTTCGGGCTCAGGGCTTAGGGCTTGGCTTAGGGCTCAGGGCTTAGGGCTAAAGGGGCTTCAGGGCTCAGGGCTTCGGGCTTCCGCCTTATGGCTTCGAACGTAGAGTGCATGAAGTTAAGTTCATGAGAAGCAGCCCGGTCGGGTGCCCTTGCGAGGTTTCCGCTGTCATGCGCCCTGGCTGAAGCTGGAGATTTTTAGTCCGCGGCCTGCGTGTGTGTTTTCTACTACATTTAGGGGGGGTCCTTTTTTTGCACGTCCGTTTTGTTGAAGGAATTCTACTACCACGCCCTAAGCCCTAAAACCCCGACAAAAACCTTAACCTTAAACGCCCCATACCTAAGCATTCAAAAGCCTAAAAAACCTCAACCGAGGAACCCTAACCCTAACCCCCCCCCCCCCCAAACACGAACCATCCTAAATCCCCCCCAAACCCCAAACCCTGAACCCTGAGCCCGATACCCTAAACCCAACACCCTAAACCCGAAACTCTAAGCTTCAAAAGCCGAGGGTCCGGGGCCCAGGTCCCTCGCTACGCGCCTCCGCCGCCTGTCGCGACGTCAGGCAAGGGCATCGAGCGGAAGGCAGGTCTCTTGGCAAGGTTGAAGCGCGCTCAGGGCTTGGGATTTAGGATTAGGGCTTAGGGTGTCGGGTAGGGTTGAGGTTTAGGGTTTAAGGCTTAGGGTTTAGTGGTTAGGGTTTAAGGTTTGCGGTTTAGGGTTTAGGGTTGAGGGCTACCCCAAACCCTAAATACCCAAAGGTCAACATCTTTCATCTGCTCAGTCGGGGCTTTGGGGACGCAAAGCCCTGAGCACTGAACCCCCAAGCGCTTTGTTGGCCGACTCCGACCGACCCCTAGGCCCCCTAAGCCCAGGCCCCCAAGCCCCCCAAGCCCCCCCCCAAGCCCCCCCCCAAGTCCCAGACCCTGAACCTTACAGCCTAAACCCCCCTAAGCCCTAAACCGCAGCCCCAGACTGTGAACCCTGAAGCCTCAACCCAAAAGGCTTAAAACTCTAAAACTCTAAAACTCTAAAACCCTAAAACCCTAAAACCCTAAAACCCTAAAACTCTAAAACTCTAAAACCCTAAAACTCCAAAACCCTAAAACCCTAAACCCCTAAAACCCTCAAACCCTAAAACCCTAAAACCCTAAACCCCTTGCGCTTGGCTTACTGAAGCCTGGGGGCCTCAAGACGCTGGGGTTGAGTGCCGACGGCGCAGCAAACTCAATACATGGGGGGGGGGGCTAAAAGGGTTCAGGGTTTGGGGTTTGGGGGGTTCGGGTTTAGGGTTTAGGGTTTAGGGTTTAGGGTTTAGGGTTTAGGGTTTAGGGTTTAGGGTTTAGGGTTTAGGTTTTAGGGTTTAGGGTCTAGGGCTTGATGTGTAGCGATGACATATATATATATATATATATCGGGGGGAAACGTCACGTCCTGGTAACTATATCGGCTCCTTTGTGTGCAACGTCTACCCTGAACAATTGCACGACAGGTGATCCCGTTTTGGGTTCCCTCTCGCGTCTTGCAAGTTTTCGGGTGCCCCCTTAAGAGGGGCTGTAGCTTGCTGAGTCTACCATGCCAGGTTTAAACCTTACATCCTCGATTCCGCGCAGCTGCGCGAAGGGGTTTAGGGTTTAGGGTTTGGGGTTTAGGTTTTCGGGTTTAGGGTTTAGGGTCTAGGGTTTAGGGTTAGGGTCATCTGCCTCCTCGGGCCATCGAGGTGACTGGGACTGCCCCGAATGTGGCGTGCTGAACTTCATGCGGCGGGATATCTGCTTCAAGTGTGGCGGCTGGGCATAGATCAGGGTTCAGGGTTCAGGGTTCAGCGTTCAGGGTTCAGGGTTTAGGGTTTAGGGTTTAAGGTTTAGGGCTTAGGGTTTAGGGTTTAGGGCGGCAGCATGGGTTCAGGCCATAGATCTTAGACCCTCAGCTCCAAACCGCTCTTAGGGCCTTTCTTGAGGTCCCTTGCCTAAGCCACACTGAGGCCATGGTCGGCCCGCTGAGGAGGAGGAGGAGGAGGAGGGAGAGGCAGAAGAGGAGCAGGCCGAGAACCTCAACCCTAGTCCCTAACCCCTAAACCCTAAACCCTAACCCTAAACCCTAAACCCTAAACCCGAAACCCGAAACCCGAAACCCTGAACCCCAAGCTCGAGCGTTTGGGGCGCACGCTTCTTTGCGATGAGAAGCCGGAGACTCCTTTTTGAGCTTTTCCCCGAAACTCTTCAATCCTTAAAACTCTGAAACCCTACGTCCTAAAGCCCTAAAAACCTTTAAACCCTTAAACTCTAAAACTCTAAAACCCCAAAACCCTAAAACCCTAAAATTCTTTTGTTTTTCCTTGTGCAAGGCAACTGTCAGTTTGCCCATCAACCTTGGCAGTTTCAGGCCGATATCGAGGCTGCGCAAGAAAACGCTTCCAACTATTCCCATCTTGAGCTACAGGGTTCACTCGCCGAAAAAATCAATGTGTTATCCATCCACGGTATATGTCGGGAATGATGTACCTCTTTGACCACTCTAGTAGATGGAGTCATCCAATACTGGTTTCCAATGTCTGCTAATGGGGGAACACGATCCGTATCTTGATGTGGTAACCGCACCTCTGCCCAGTGGACTTGGGGCCGTCCACGTCGATTCTTCCCCCGAACCGTTCCATACGCCCTAGCTTGGGCAAATGTCGCTGTAAACTCATGTGAATCAGGATGCCACAAAATGTGGCCCAACAGCTTCAATCTCCGAAAAGACACAGCCTGTGACGGCTTAGGGACTGACGCGTACTGATTCGTCAGTCGGGCAAGGTGTTCATGTGAGCAAGGAGGGTCTGACCTAAAACCCTAAAACCCTAAAACCCTAAAACCCCAAAACCCTAAACCCCAAACCCTAAACCCTAAACCCTAAACTCTAAACCCTAAACCCTAAACCCTACACCCTACACCCTAAACCCTAAACCCTAAACCCTAAACCCTAAACCCTAAACCCTAAACCCTACACCCTACACCCTACACCCTACACCCTACACCCTACACTCTACACCCTGCACCCTAAACCGTAAACCCTGAACCCTAAACCCTCAGCCGTAAACCCTACACCACCCTTCAACCCTAAAACCCCCAGCTCTTAAACCCCTTGAGCCCTTAAACCCTGGCACTCCAAAGTCAGGCCCAGGAGGCCTATGAGGAGGTGGATGGGTCCATGGCCCCAAGCAGCCCGCCCATGTGGCTTGGCTTGAATCAGCCCTAAACCCTAAACCCCTAGCCCTAAACCCGAAACCCTAACCCCAAACCCTAAACCCTAAACCCTAAAACCCTAAAACCCGAAACCCTAAACCCTAAACCCTAAAACCCTAAAACCCTAAACCCTAATCCCTAAGCCCTAAACCTTAAATCCTGAACCCCAAAATCCTAAACCCTAAACCCTAAACCCTCAAGACAAAATAAACAGAACTTGTATGTGGTCTCATTCTGAATTCCCCCCTCCCCGCTCCCCACTCTTCCCCTCCTCCCCTCCTCCTGCCATCCCCTCCTTTCATCCCCTCCTCTCATCCCCTCCCTCCTCTCATCCCCTCCTCTCATCCCCTCCTCTCATCCCCTCATCTCATCCCCCCAGATTTCCCATCCCAGATCCCCCCCAAATCTCCGCCCCAGATCTTCGCCTTGAGGATCAGATGTCTCCCCCAGATCTTCCCAGATCTCCTCCAGATCTCCTCCTACATCTCCCCCCAGATCTCCCCCCCATTTTGCTCAGATCTGTTCCCAGACCTTCTCCCTTCTCCCGAACCATTTCTAAGCGTTTTTGGGCGCCGGACCATTTCTGAGCCGTTTTTGGACTTCTCTCGGACCATTTCCGACTTCTCCCGTACCATTTCTGAGCCTTTCTGGGCCTCTCCCGATTATTTCTGAGCCTTTCTCCCGGACCATTCCTGCGCCCTTTTGGCTTCTCCCGGACCTTCGTGCTTAATGGCCAGGCAGGGGAGACCGGATTGCCGAAGACAGCACGTCTCGCTGGCATGACAGGTGCCGCGTCGCGAGAAAAAGCAGGCCAGCTCTGACACGTCTCTGTTAGTTTTGGTGTCACTACTCAGTTTGATTGACAGGTCTGCTTGCGATACAATCTGGCCACGCATGTGCCGCAGCCAGTGGTCATACAGGGGCACGCCAGCTTGCCCGAAAACGCCTGCCCCCGAGATTTAGGATCTAACGTCATGTAGTGGCTTCGCTCCGACACCTCTACAGGTGCTGGTACGGTTGCGGGGCCTCAATGCTGGCACCGTGCAGTGAGCTCAGAGAGACATCAAATAGACGTATGTAGGCCAGCCTCGTGCTTGATGCGGACTGTTTCCGAGGGACTCGATCAACATAGCCGACAGAGAGCAAGGCGACTTGCTCATGCCCGGCAAACCACGAGGTTACTCGGCGGCATTGACAGCAAGTATTTGCACGCTTGTTGACATGAGAATAGTTCATCTTGGCACGAGACGCCGGAGGAGGAACTGGATTGCTCGAACCTCTGGGCTACATCGGCCAATACTGGGCCGGAGCCTCAAGGCAGTTGGCGAGTCGGTGTGGAAGGCTTGCCACGCACAGATCTGCGTCAGGAGGTGGGCTCCAGAAGGCACGGCGAGCCGTGGGTGGTCCTATGCCCGCTGCTAAGGCTGGTGTAGAGTCAAAATTAAGTCGATCGATAACAGTGTGTTGTTTGACAACGCTCACTTGACAGGTCGCTTGGTGCACTATCTGAGCACGTTTCAGCCCTCGTGGCGGGAGATGTTCTTGTGGGAGGTCTTCCTTAGGTAGCCCCCAGTCTTTTCCGTCCCATTCAAGTAGTAGGACTTTCGGTCAAAACGTTTCGGTCAAAACTTTCGGTGTTTCAAAGACAACACTTTCGGTCAGAACGTTTCCGTCAAAACGTTTCGGTCCAAACTTTCGGTCAAAACGTTTTGGTCAAAACGTTATTGGGACCCAAGCCCTATACAATTTCTATAAACCCTAAAACCCTAAACCCTAAACCCTAAAGCCTAAAGCCCTGAACCCTAAAACCCTAAACCCTACACCATAAACCCTAAACCCTGAACCCTACACCCTAAACCATAAACCCTAAGCCCAGAACCCTAAACCAGAGCAGTTGAAGGACTGCGCCTCGAATGTCTTCTGTTTATTTTGAGGCGTTGTGTAGGGGACAGCTTTGGGTTTTAGGCTACACGGTCCAGGCATTCGGCTTAATATGGGGAAACCCCCATTTCGGGGTCGGAAAACATATTAAATAGTCTGTAGAACTATACTCTAATAGGCCCCAAAGCCATATTGGAATTTTTAAGGCTCCTACATGAGGGGTCGTTTTAGGGAGACGCGATCTTCAGAAAGAGGATGACAAGTGAGCGTGCGACGTCCAGTGGTTGCAGGATCATAAGCCCTCGTAGGTGTCTCATGGCTCAGGACAAGCACTGAACCCTCTAAACCCTATCGCTAGGCCCTGTACACCCTATAATACAACCTATAAACCCTGTAAAGGCCATTAAACCCTATAAACCCTATAAACCCTATAAACCCTATAAACCCTATAAACCCTGTGGCTTTATAAGCCATAGAAGCCCTGGGAAACCCTATTAAAGCCCATAAACCCTAGAAGCCCTGCAAGCCCTTTGAGCCGATAAGCCCGACACACCCTTTTGACCCTGCTAAGCCATATAAACTCTAAAAGCCCCATAAGCCCTATGAGCCCTATAGGCCCCATACACTCGAAAGCTTGAAGCCCTGAACCCGAAACCCTAGAAACTTTGAAGAAGCCCCAAGCCCCATACCCCAAACCGTAAACCCGAAACCCGAAACCCTAAACCGTGAACCCTGAACCCTGAACCTGGCAGAGCTTAAAGGCAGTCCACCAGGTTCAGCTTGTCCAGGGCGCTCTCAGCCTAAGCCCTAAATTTAAGAGCCTCCGGCTCAAGCCGCCGACCCCGCTGGAGCATAGTTGAAAGGTTTAAACGCGTTGGTTAGGTTAAAGGATGCCAAGTTGTTGGGGGGGGGTAGGGGGTAGGGCGGTGGGGGGGGGGTTGGGGGTAGGGGGGGGGTAGGGGGCAGAGGTGGGGGGGTTTTTCCTAAAGTCCCCATGCCTGTGCGAACCGCCTAGGTCCTTGAGTTTTTGGGGCCGGGTGGGTGGCCTTGCCGGGAGTTTCCCCCCCCCCCCCCCCTCCCCCCCCTCCCCCCCCCTCCCCCCCCCCCTCCCCCCCCCTCCCCCCCCCCCCCTCCCCCCCCCTCCCCCCCCCTCCCCCCCCCCTCCCCCCCCCTCCCCCCCCCCTCCCCCCCCCCCTCCCCCCCCACCCCCCCTCCCCCCCCCCCTCCCCCCCCCCAACACACCGCCAGCGTCCTAAACCCTAAACCCTCAACCCTAAACCCTCAACCCTAAACTGAAAGGCGCCCTGCATCACCCCCGGCCTCGCCGCCGCCGGCGCATCGGCGTGAGGGTGAGGCGATGAAGACACTTTTCAGGCCCCCTGTTGTGCGCCTTGACGGTCTAGGGTCTAGGGTTTAGGGTTTAGGGTTTAGGGTTAGGGTTTAGGGTTTAGGGTTTCAGGCCCCTGTTGTGCGCCTTGACAGGGCTTTTGCAGGGTTTTGTCGGTTTTTGTAGGGTGTTGTAGGGTTTTGTAGGGTTTTGTAGGGTTCTGTAGGGTGTTTTGTAGGGTTTTGCAGGGTTTTGTAGGGTTTTTAGGGTTTTGTAGGGTCTTGTAGGGTTTTGTAGGGTTTTGTAGGGTTTGTAGGGTTTTGTAGGGTTTTGCGGGTTTTTGTAGGGTTTTGCAGGGTTTGGCAGGTTTTGCAGTGTCTTGTAGGGTTTAGTAAGGTTGTGTAGGGTTTTGCAGGGTTTGATGGGTTTTTGCAGGGTAGGCTTTTGTAGGGTGTTGTCGAGTTTTGTAGGGTTTTGTAGTAGGGTTTGCAGAGTTCTGGGGTTGTAGAGTTTTGGGGTTTGCAGGGTTCATGGGGTTTATCGGGTTTGGCTTCAGGGTTGAAAGGGTTGTAGGGTAGGCTTTTCCGATCACTGACTTGCGTGTCGTCGGTTTACAAGGCATTCTTGCGTATGACCCTAGGCCTAAACCCTACACCCAATACCCAAAGCTGCAGAGAGTGAGAGGCTTTCGCCCAAGTTTCGAGAAGCATGGCTCCTGCACTGTGGCACGGCTGGGCGCGAAGCAGGCAGAGGTTGAGGGCTGCAATTGCAGGGTTTAGGGTTCGGGTTTAGGGTTTGGGGTTTAGGGTCTGGGTTTAGGATTTAGGTATAAGGATTAGGCTTTAGGCTTTAGGCTTTAGGGTTTAGGGTTTAGGGTTTAGGGTTTAGGGTTTAGGGTTCGGGGTTTAGAGTGCAGGGTTTGCCAGCTGGGGGTTGAGGGTTTAAGGGATGCAGGAGCTTGGATGAGTCTGACAGCTTGAAGGGGTGTAGGTTTAGGTTTCGGTTTAGGGTTGAGGGTTGAGGGTTTAGGGTTTCGGGTTTAGGGTCGCTTATTGAGGGACCCATGACCCACAGACTTTTGGTGCAGGCGACCCGTCTGACCCTTCCAAGTGCGAGCGCCGCTTTTTGGTGGAGCTACGTGGCTGCATATGAAGAAGGCCTAAAACCTAAACCCTAAACCCTAAACCCTAAACCCTAAACCCTAAACCCTATACCCTAAACCCTAAACCCTAAACCCTAAACCCTAAACCCTAAACCCTAAACCCTGAACCCTGAACCCTGAACCCTGAACCTTGAACCCTGAACCCTGAACCCTGAACCCTGAACCCTAAACCCTAAACCCTAAACCCTAAACCCTAAACCCTAAACCCTAAACCCTAAACCCGCTAGCAGTTTTTGTGTGTTTTGTGGGTTGAGATTTTGACAGGGCTCTTTGGCTACTCATGGGTTCCCCCGATAATTAAGGCCACTTAGGGAATTTAGGGATCACTAAGCCTAATTCCAAATACTAACAGTCCTTCATTAAGTTCGGATTCTACTAGGCGGTACTACAATCCCTATTAAGGACTGTTAGCATAAGGCGGAACATCCCAAGTTTGACCCTCAACTGTAAACCCTCGGCCCTCAACCCTCAACCCTCAACCCTCAACCCTCAGCCCTCAGCCCTCAGCCCTCAACCCTCAACCCTCAACCCTCAACCCTCAACCCTAAACCCTAGACCCTAGACCCTAAACCCTAAACCTTGTTAGTATAAGGTTCGGAGAAGGGGGAACATCCCAACCAGGTTTCTGGATCGCGCAGCAGAGCAGCTTCAGAGCTCCGAGGCGCCAAAGGTGTGGGGGTCGGAGGTTCCGAAGGTAAACCCTAAACCCTAAACCCTAAACCCTAAACCCTAAACCCTAAACCCTAAACCCTAAACCCTCAACCCTCAACCCTAAACCCTCAACCCTCAACCCTCAACCCTCAACCCTCAACCCTCAACCCTCAACCCTAAACCCTCAACCCTCAACCCTCAACCCTCAACCCTAAACCCTGAACCCTAAACCCTGAACCCTGGACCCTCAACCCTCAACCCTCAACCCTAAACCTTAAACCCCAAACTGAACTGTTGAGTCGTAGGGATGTCCGGGTCATTTCTTGGGACTCCGCACCAGAAATCCTTCCCCAAACTTGCCAAGTTCTCAAAGTGAACTGTGGTTAGGGTTTAGGCGTTAGGGTTTAGGGTTGAGGGTTGAGGGTTTAGGGTTTGGGGGCGTCTGTGGAGATGCTGACAAAAGCTGATGTTGGGGAGGGGGGCCGGGGGGGGGGGGGGGTTAGGGTAGGGGGTTAGGGTTCAGGGTTTAGGGTTTATAGTGTTAGTATTTTGGGTACCCTTGCAGGTACCTCGTCAGGTATGTGCACTAATGTCAGACCCCCCCCCCCCCCCCGACGCAATAGAAAAGTTGCGGCATTCCCCTGTAGCTCTGGCGTCCTTTCTGCATGTTTCAAGCATAGGGCTAGGATTTAGAGTTTAGGGTTACGGTTTGGATTTTTACCACAAGAACACCAAAACATTGAAGCCCTCAACCCCAGAATTCCTTGGCAACTCCTGCCTCAGGCCCCAAACTCGCGCCCTAACCCCACACCCCAAACCCCAGCCCTAAACCCCAAACTCTCCATGTTCCCTCAGTCCACCCTCTCCTCCCTAAACCCTAAACCCGAACCCTCAAGTCAGAAACCCGAGGCCCTCAAACCCCAAGACCCCAACAGCCCCTAAAACTGCAGAGTCTTCAGAACCCCAGAGCCACTTGCAAAATCTCAAGCCCCACCCAGTCTCCCCCCCAGCCGCCAAAAGGCCTAAGCCCCCCCCAACCGCCCAAACCTCAAACCCTAAACGCCCTCAAACCCGAACCCCCCCAGGCCCCAAACCCTCAAGCCCCCGGCGCCCCTGAAACCGAAGCCTCCCATTCCTCGCAGCCTTCGCCACGACCCTCAGCAAGACCAGGCATACCCACGTCTTGCATCCCCGTGGGGGGTTTACGGTTTACGCGTTAGGGCTTTGAGGTTTGAGGGGGTTACGGGGTCAGTGTTGAAAATGATTTTCACTTTTACGAGTACTTAAACCCAACAGGGAGCAGAAATGATTACATTGAGTAGCGCCCCAACAAGGGTGCAGTTTAGGGTTGAGGGTTGAGGGTGTAGGGACGGGACCAGGGGCGGAGTTGGGGTCCTGCGGGCTTGGGGGTGTTAGAGGAGAGAGGTGCTCGGGTTTGGGCTTACTGGGCTGATGTTTTCTTTTTGGGGGGCTGGGGGTTTACGGGGCTTAACGCCTTCCACCTGCCCGAATCCGAAAACCCAAAAAGCACAAGCCACAAACAGTCGAAAGCCTGAAGCCCTAAACCCTAAACCCCAAACCCTAAACCCTAAACCCCAAACCCTAAACCCTAAATTAGGAAATCGTTTTTTTTTTTTTTTTTGGGGGGGGGGGGAGGGGGGGTTTGCTATTATTTAAAAACTCCCGTGAGCACTCCGCAGACCCTTAACATCCCCCAAGGCCCAGCCACCCTGATCAAGCAACCCCTAAACCCTAAACCCTAAACCCTAAACCCTAAAGCCTAAACCCTAAGATCCCTAAACCCTAAAATCCCTAATCCCTAAACCCTAAACCCTAACCCCTAAACCCTAAACCCTAAACCCTAAACCCGCTCAACCCCAAGAACCCTGAAGGTGCATCAGCTGGTGTGCAAAAGACGCTGTCCATCAAGCACCTTGCCTCGGACCATTTAGGGTTTAGGGGTTTAGGGGTTTAGGGTTTAGGGTTTAGGGGTTTAGGGGTTTAGGGATTTAGGGTTGAGGGCTTTAGGGGTTTTAGGGGTTAGGGGTTTAGGGGTTTAGGGGTTTAAGGGTTTAGGGGTTAGGGGTTTAGGGGTTTAGGGGTTTAAGGGTTTAGGGGTTCAGAGGTTTAGGGGTTTAGGGGTTTAGGGGTTTAGGGGTTTAGGGGTGTAGGGGTTTAGGGGTTTAGGGGTTTAGGGGTTTAGGGTTTAGGGTTTAGAGTTTAGGGGTTTAGGGGTTTAGGGGATTAGGGGTTGAGGGGTTTAGGGGTTTAGGGGTTCAGGGGTTTAGGGGTTTAGGGGTATAGGGGTTTAGCGGTTTAGGGTTTTACCTATTAGGGTTTATAGAGTGTAGGGTTTCGGGTTTAGGGTTTTGGGCCTTTCCCTCCCAATGCACCCCAAATACAACCGTTCGCGCAAACGGAAACTCCCTTGCTGAAGCTGTCTCTTAGTGGGGAAAGAGGGAATTGGGCACCTTGCAGCCCTAAACATACCCTAAACTCAAGGCTTAGGCCACCCCCCCTACAGTAGGGGGACAGCGCCTAAGCCCCTCAACTTTATAGCGCAAGCTGACGCTAGGTCAGGAGGTCGGCAGCACCCATGATGGGCCCCGTGCCGAACGCTTTTCTCCGGCCGCAGCGATCCAGAAAGCAGGGCGAAAAGGGTGCTAGTTGTATGTAGGGAGCTGACTTGAGTTTAGCTCTAAACCTTACATTGAGGTTCATGGTACATATGAACCAATTATAACTGTACTTATGACCATATTAGGGCACTTAAGGGGGCTTATAAGTGGGTTATAAGTACAGGTATAATTGGTTAAAAAGTACCATGAACCTCCAAGCAAAAGGAATAGGTTAGGGTGGCTTTGCTGCCTCGGACGGCGTGGTGGGAGAAATGGATGGCCCGCCACACTCGGGCCAGGGCTACCGGATGAAGCTTTCGAGCTGGGTTTAGGGTTTAGGGATTTAGGGATTTAGGGATTTAGGGATTTAGGGATTTAGGGATTTAGGGATTTAGGGATTTAGGGATTTAGGGATTTAGGGATTTAGGGATTTAGGGATTTAGGGATTTAGGGATTTATGGATTTAGGGATTTAGGGATTTAGGGATTTAGGGATTTAGGGATTTAGGGATTTAGGGATTTAGGGATTTAGGGATTTAGGGATTTAGGGATTTAGGGTTTGAGGTTTAGGGATTTAGGGGTGGTTACCTTGTGGTGCTTTACTGTAGCTTTAGATGTTTCCTAGTACGGAAGCGAAAAATCTACTTTATTGCTGCCCTCCTAAGTGCAGGCCAAGGTTCGGGTTTGGGGCTTGGGGTTCTGCTTCTGGTTTCCAGGGAGGAGGCTGCACCCTGAAGTGGCCAAGGCGTAGCATCGTGGACCGAGTCAACGAACTGAACGCTTCGGGGAAGCTCAAGCAGGCGGGGGGGGGGGGGGTGTTCAATTTGCGTGGGAACCCTAAACCCTAAACCAAAACCCTAAACGCTAAACCCTAAACCTGAAGAGGTTGCTTGAACAAACATACATCTTCTTCAACAAACGGCTCCAACAGTGACCTAAGTGCAGAAGCACCCCTCCCGGCATGTCTCGAACTTTCGCACGCCTTCAACCCGAAACCCGACACCCGACACCCGACACCCGAAACCCGAAACCCGAAACCCGAAACCCTAAACCCTAAACCCTAAACCCTAAACCCCATTCAGCAAGGCTATCCGTCTGCCCGGCGTCGCGGTCTGCATCTCGAAGATCTCCGAGGAGGAAGCTCTTGAGGCAAGGACGGCTGCAGGTCCCTTGAAACCCTAAACCCGCTTTAGGAAGTTTAGGGTTTAGGGTTTAGGGTTTAGGGTTTAGGGCTTAGGGTTTAGGGTTTAGGGTGGTTTAGGGTTTGGGGACCTACAAGGAAGGGCCAGTGGCGGTTCCTCGCCCAGCTGCCGCTGCATTGGGAACTTTTGACCCTTTCGAGGCGCCGTTGCCTACGGCCACGCCGTCCATGGTACCTCCAGGTGTTGCTCCGGATGCTGGCTTTTCAGGCTTTTTCTTCAGAACGCCGCCAAGAACGGGCCCGAGAACGGGCCCTGGACAGGGAGCTATTGCTGGAGTGCCTCCGCCGCTGCATGGATGATGCTGCCGGCACTGCCGCCTCTTCGGATCTTCATGTGTTCCATAGTCATGAGCGGAGTCACAGAGGCCTCAATTGGGTTCTAAGCATGATGAGAACATAGGAACCCGAAACCCTAAACCCTAAACCCTAAACCCTAAACCCTAAACCCTAAACCC